ACCGACGGATGGGTGCAGGACCTTGAAACGCACCGTGTAGAACGAAAGACCATCGTACGAACAAAGGTAAGTTTACCAGTCTCACAAATCGTCGTCATAGATACACATTCGTTAACCGTTTATTAATATAACCTTTGAGCTCAACGGTAATTAATTAGTAGTGGAAATAATTTCTGGTAGCATCACAGAAATGTAGCAGTGACAATAATACTGTATGTTGTAATCGTACTGGGCAATTAGTGATACAAAAAAAACCTGTTTTATCCTGTGAATAAAAGTATATGTTTTTGTCAATGTACCATAATAACAGAGGCGAAACACAATATTGTGTCAGGACAATTCACTATTTATGCACATTAAACAAAGGAGCATAGCGCGACAATTTCTGTTCAGCGCCAGACTTGCTTGTAACCTATATCACCAATTATGTTAAGAAAAATGACGTATTAACTACTACAAAACTCTGACCTTTGTGGGAATGCTTGGAGCAGACTAACATGTGAGCTGGAGTGCTCTGGGACGTTATATTTGGTATATCCAGACCATCCATTGGCTCTTACTTCGGAAACATGGCTTAAAAAAAAAATTTCTCTTCAACGACGTAATCTGATAACAACCGATCTCTTTACCCGTCGGCTTCCCGTGGCTGTCATGCGACCGGCTATACAACAGCTTCTTGCCATTTTTTGTGTTTCTTTTTATCGCTGTGTAACCGAGTTCAATTGAAAGCCTGCGTGCGCTAGTACCTCTTGCCACAAGTTCCCAGAATCCTTTGTGGTTTTACCCTTGAATGACGTCACATTTTCAATCTTTATCCTGGTGGGCCGATCTCTAGTCAAAATGCCCGAGCTGATTTTTTGTCCCAGTCCAGCCTTGGGGCTAGGTGGTATATAATGATGTGCTACGTGATCGCTAGCGACACAGCTATGTTAGCATAACATAAACTGTGAAGCTGGAGGACGAACACTAACACTTTTCCCCTTGATAAAAGTTAACGTGAGGGTTCCTGATGGTTAGCGACAAATGCAGTCGCATGGCAGGATGCTGTAAACGGGCCAAACTTCAGTCAGGAGAACAACTGAGATAATCCATCCACAATACGAGGTTAGTCATTAATATACTGTAACAACATGGGAATAGAGCAGCTGTGATAGAATACAGCATTAATGAATCAATGGTACAGAAGTGCAGGAAGAAAGAAGAATGAGTTAAATTAAGTTTGATTTATCTGAGTGTTTTGTTGCCTTATAATCCCGTGCACCTTATGGTCCAAAAAATACATATTTGACTTTTTTTATTTGGCACACTGCAGTTTAATGTAGCAAAGCAGCTCTTTTTAACTTCAGTGGATATTATACCTGGTTATGCTCAGGATATGTCAGCCCATTTCTACTGGAGATGCCCTTTGGTTAAACTTTCAGCAAGGAATTTGCATTTGCACTGTTAAATGTTCATATAGCTTTAATGCACATAAAAATAAAAAAAATAAAAAAACAGCTGCTTGTTTTAAGTGAAAATAAATGGATGGGGGGTTTTTTTGCGCTAGTAAAAGTTGTGGAGTTGTATTTTGTCTCGCAGAAATTATATCGTCAGTTATATCGTTATCGCAAATTTTCAAATATATATCGTGATAAATATTTTTGGCCATATCGCCCTGCTCTAATAACTGTCATAACTTAGAAGTAGGTTTGCAGGAGACTCTCCACAAGCTCAGCTGTAAAAGTAAGATGACAAGAGGCCAATGGCCCAGTGGATGCAGAGTGGGGGTCTCAGTGCTTATAATGTGTTTTCTATGTTTTGCAGAGGAATTTGGTGTAGCTTGGGTGAGGGGAGATGGACTTTTATGACCAACAAGAAGTCACACACCCACACGCACACTCACTCACATACACACACAGGCACTCACGTGCTTGCACATACATACACAAACACAGAATTTACAACACACTATGTGGGTTTTACGATGGGGTCGCTTCTATAAAACTGGTTGTAACAAACAAAGAAGTGAAGATCTGCAGAGGGACACCGGCCCTGTACATCTCCCCTTTAGAAGGTGCATGTGCAACTGAAGATGAATAAAGGTTTTGTGAAATGACTACTGAGTCCGGTGCAGTCTCTGGAGGCCTGAGGAATAAAAAAAGAACCGGGATGAAACTGCTTTACGTAACATTTTCAACAAATATATATTTAAACTACAAAATAAGAAACTTTTATTTTCTTACAAGTGGTTGCTTGAGTTTTGAGACCACCAGAAAACTTCTTACCCAGCAAACAATCCAAACTGATTATACAACCGGAAACAATCATTTGCAATCAGTGATCCTTCGCAGCCACGGACTGAGCGCAGATGTCAATTTGAAGCAAATCAAAATAACTTCAAAACTGATGCAGGAGAAACACTGTCAGAAAAAAAGTCTGGCGGTTGAAATAACGCCATGTAATCTGGGTGGTAACAGGCTGCTGACTGTCTACATACAAAATGAACAATGACAAGAAGATGGATGCTGAAACATCCCTTTGGACTTGAATTCATGGCAGCAAAATGCAGGCCAAATGGCTGCCTCTAGCCGGGATTTAGAAGAGGAAAAAAGAAAAAGCTCCAGCTTCGCAGCCGCAATTGTTTTGCAGAGTGTGATTAGACTTTCTCCTTGGAATCACAAGGCAATCAGGAAAAGGGGGGTGTACTGTGCCGTAGCCCATACAGCTGCTACTTTCTTGCTCATTTGGGAGTGTTCGGCATTCTCTCTGAATGGTAATTATGAAAGGAACAAAAAGGGGCCTTTACAGACAAAGGCGGGTTTGGAGTGAATGGGCCCTGCTCCCATACGCCATGAGTGTTTTGACTCCAAGTGCTGTTTCATGGGAGACGATACGAGGCAATTATGCAGGAGAACTTGCAGGGGGTGAGAAAGGAAGAGGAGCACGGAGAGGGAGATACGCTGGGCCTGGCATAGAGAGCGGGACCAGATAGCACCATCTGCATTCTGCACGTGCACTGTCCGTCTGGCTCGCTGTTGCTTTCAATAAAAGCTGGAGCTCATGCAGACAGGCAACAGAAAAAGTATTCAAATATACAGTACAGAGGACTCACTGGGCCGCACATACACCACACACCAATCCTGCACTTTACTGCAAGACTGGGCTTCATGGGATTTAATGGCACTGATTTAACTATGTTAACCAAAGCTGCCACAGTGAAAGGATATAATATCATAAGTGGTATTATACTGTTGGTCCCATGCTGGCAAACGCATACAATGGCACCTGCGTTTCTCAACACACCAACAAATCTCCATTTCCTGCAAATAAAATCTTTAGCAAAAACTAAGATAAGATGTATTTGCTTAAAATGGAAATATGTGATTAAAAGTGCAAATGTTTTGCAGCGCTGCTGTCAAAGAACTGAAAACAAACACTAACTGTATGTAACAGCTGAGTCTAATAAGCTATGAATATGAAAACGAGTTCTTTCTTCTTGCTGCATTAACATAACCATATCAAAGCAAAAGGGCTTGAAATTGTTTTCATCTGAATTTCTAGATCACTGATGTGCACTTTAATTTATTTTTTTTCACCTTTCCTGCGTAGGGATGGGTATTGATAAGATTTTAACGATTCCAATTCCATTTTCAATTCGGTTTAACGATTCGATTCTTTATCGATTCTCTTTTTTTTTTAAAAAAAGGAGAACACTAAGGTCGATTAGCTCAGAGCTTTGTTTTATATCTTCTCTTTGAACAAGATAGAAATTTAGGAGTAACATGGCCTTACAAACCCAACAGTGAGATCTTAAGAGATCCAGCCTACGGCTCTTCAATGGGGTGTCACAGGGTCCCCAGGAAAAAAAATTGTAAATGTAAAATAATAAAATAAATATTCTTGTGAGACATATCACATATTGACGGGGTCGGGTTATGTTAAAAAGTATAAATTGTTATACTTTGTTCATTGGTTCAAAGGTACCCCACACTTCTTTTTTTGTTTGCTTGTTTGTTCTGGTGTATTTTTCATTTGAACTGTTACTCTGCCAGAGTACTCATATTTACAAGATGGCATTGAACGCCCCATTGGTGTATCAGGAAAACTATTTTGTACGTATGTTCCTTGAAGGGGATTGAAGTCGTTCTTTTTTCCACCGCAGCGAAGGGCTAGGAGTAGGAGAGGAGCTGCTGTATGTTTTTGTTATCGAATCGATCTGATTGTGAAATAAAGCATATGCAGTGAGAAAGCAACTCCAGGAGTCATCCCTGCCTTAAAGCTGCAACATTCTTCTGTAGCAATAACAAAGTATAACATAAATTGTTCTGTGGCAATTACACAAGAATATCCAGTAATGTCCCTGCCTACAATTAAACACATTCACTTACCAAAAATCGGGGGCATCTGCTGTGGCAAATGGGTGCAAGCCTTTGACCACAAACTTAGACACTGCTCGGTGACATTCGTCTATCCTGGCCTGAAAGGAGACGCTACCGGTAGACTGCAGCGAGAACTGCCAGCGAGCGCCAGCCAGACTCTGTCTGTCTCTCTCATCATGGTCACCTACATGTACAGTAATGGCAGGTCTTGTAATAAGGCAGATTGCGCTAACATAATATGCACTGTTAGTTGATTATTTACCTGCCGCATTAACGGGAGAGGACGTGCAAACGTTAGCGCTGCTGCTGGGTTGAGAGTCACGAGTCCGGAGCGGAATTAAAAACGCGTGTCATCGCGTGTTTTGTGAGCAAATGCTTTTGCATATTCGTAGTGTTTCCTCCCTTAAATGAAATATCTACTTTGCAAGTTGCCCTGTTGTCATCGGTTCTCATAAAGTATAATCAAACTTTTGAGCGTTTGAGCCGCTTAGGCGCCGTGTTTCCTGCCAGGTAAATGACGCTCCGCAACGTGGTGACGTCATTCGGGGCGACTGGAATCGATAAGGGAATCGTTTGCAAAAATGGCAAACAATTCCAAGGAATTGAAACAGTGGGAACCGGTTCTCAACAAGAACCGGTTTTCGATACCCATCCCTATTCCTGCGTGGGAGGGCCATTTTTGTTTTTGCTCTCACTGGGGGGTTGACAAACAGAGATTGACTTCTTATTTAAAATGAATCAAATCAAGAAAAGCAAGAAGAGACTGATCACGTTACCTCTCTTATCTTGTCTCGTTTCTCTTTGACGTCGGGTTCTGGGGGCTCGCCGTCGCTCACGCCCACCACCTTAGGCATGGGTACCGGCGGCAACGGTTTGGGCCCTACGTCCTTCTTTTTCAGGTCCTCCATCACTTTGTTCTTCTCCGTCTGAATCTCGGCCTTGAGCTCCTCACGTGACTTTCGCAGCTTCTCCTTTGCCTCCTGCAGTGCTCGCTCATGGTCTGCACGGATCTTATCCCGCAGGCTCTCCTCCTCTTCCCTACAGGAGGAAGGAATAAGATAAGCTTTACTTCTTTATGCTCTGCTTTGATTTCCATTAGACCTCACAAGTCAGTTGCTCATCCCCACAGTGAAATTAGAAGGGTTACTGTAACCATAGCTAACACGCACACAAAAACATTTGGGGAAGAAAGGTGTACAGAGGGACTCGTGCTTGAAATTAATTAAAGATGGGCATTACAAACAAACTCTGACCCACTAGGAAGTTAATATTTCATTATTTTTGGAAAGTAAAACTAAAATATTTACTGTTTACCTTTTTTACATTGATATTTAATAAACTATTGAATTTCTTTAGGTCAGCAGGTTGAGGATCACTGCAACAAACATCTGCAGGAAACCATTTTACTCAGATGATAATGAAAACACAAAAAAACATTTTCCCAGGAGAAACCTAACCCCAACCCCATTAATCTGCAGTTACATCAGCTCCAGGAAATGGGACAGGTGTGGAGGAACACAATGAGGAGACCAGCGATGGCAGAATGACAAACATCATCTGTGGTTCCACATGACGATACAAACCCTAGGGGTGTTGACAAGGCTCTACCCCGCAAGGATGTGCTTCAGTAATGAAAAACAAACATAGTGGGGAGCTGAAGCAAAGGTGACAGGAGGCCGACGACACTTTGCTGCTCTTCTGTGGTCACTGAAGTAAGGAGAAACTGAAAGAATCTCTTTGAATCTCTCCCTGCCCTCATCCGAGTTTGCACAAATATAATTTCAGCCGCATGTCAGCTGATACGCAGCAGAGGTTAGCTCTTTGAGCTGCTGACAAATGAAGACAAAATGAATGACCAGTTCAGCTGGAAATAACTAACCACCATTACATTTATGAATACAAAAGTATATTTTTTACATTTGAAATGACAAATTTCATTACAGTAAATTCTAGCTTAAAAACAGCCTTTTCCCTTTATATGCTACATTATTTGATTTTTATTTTACCAAATTACATGCTACTTATCAAATATGAAAGATCTGACCCATCTTTAAATCAAACTAAAAAAAACTATATCTGCACATAGGACACACACTACAGACTCACTGCCTTGACACTTGTCTCTAATATTTTCATTACTCCTTGATGCACTGCTTTAGTTGTCAGTGTCCTAAATGCTTTAAAAACAAACAAAAAAACAACAACACACACACACACACAATAAATGAGGAATCTTCAAGCAACTTGGTTGCACTTCATCTGACTGCAAACACATGCGACTGTTTATTAATGACCTACAGTGTGACAAACACAGGAAATGTGGGAGGAACTGATAACCTGCTGAGCTCCATGTGGACTCAGCTGCAAGTCTCCCCGGAGTTACAGTTCAACATCTCTAAGAAGATGAGAAAAACAACTCACTGGGTGTGTGTGTGCGTGCCCATGTGTGTGTTTCCCTATCATTGAAACATGCATATTAAAAAAAATAAACCTTGAGCCTTCAACACTACACTATGTATTAGTTTAATTTCAAATAAAATCAATAATCCTGTAAAGTGCTGCAGCTATTCTACAATGACAACGTTACTTTACTTAAAAGCCTGGTGAACAGCGTTTAGCACAGAGGATGCCAAAGAATTTTCTTAAGTGTTTGTAGAATGATTTTTAGTGTTTTCTATATCAGCAGTTAGGCCATGAATACAAATAGGTCACGAACAAGAGAAAAATAAAAACCTAAATGTTCTATATGCGGTTTTGTTGTTTGTAGACCTGCGTGTGCTCATTAATTTACTTATTTATTAACTTGTAATGTTTCAGCGTCCAGTTCTTAGCCTGTGTGGTTTCTTATTCGTTATCAATATCCGGTCATGACTTGGGTATTTTTCCCTCTGTTCAGGTGTTTTTCATGCACGTTTACATGCTGGCGTGTACATCCATTCTTAGCCTGAGACTAAAATTACTGCTAATCAGGAAAAGAAAGAAATGGTTAGCAGAGTGAGGTGTGAGACAGCCTGCATTAGAGCAGATGTCTTTATGTACACCTGGTTGATAAAAGGTGATGATATAACGCGAGCTAACTTCACAAAGAGAGGAAGCCTGTCCAGACCCACAAGAGCAATATAAGGAAAGAGAATAATGTTTAGGTTTTGCTCCTGTATGAGAGCCGCCATACTGCATGAAGCCAGACTTCTGCTCCTTGTTTTGCATCCATACCAAAGATTTTAAAAGAACAGAAAAAAAGAAAAGAAAAAAAAACTACTGACAAATGGTAGGGTTGCTTCATGGATGAGCTTAGGTTATTTCTAAGCATTAATCTCACACAGACACACAAATGTCACATTAGTCTGCTAAGGAGGCAAATGTCAGCAGTGCTAGCACCAGCAGCCTTTTTTCCTCCACCTGTGCAGAATGCAATGCCTAATGAGAAGTGCAGACAATGGCTGACCGTTTTAACTGTTTTCAGCGTTAGGTTTCACTCCACTACAAAGGGATCCCCGTCTTCCCTGTTTCTGGGGCTAAGCTAAAGGACCAAAACAGCACAAACATGAACAAGAGCAGGGCATACACAGGTTGTTAAACTAGATGTTAAACAAATTTTTGACTCTGCTACCCGCTGCAAATAAACTGCTACTTCAAAGACTGAGTGTCAAATATGGATGTGCACATACGAGTTGCATGCCTCACTGCACGCAAGAGAATAGACTGCCTACATCTATGGACACAAAAAAAAATTGAGCCAAAGCTGAAAGATCAGATGGACATGGAATAAAGGCAGTAAAAAGCTGCCAAAAAACAGAACAAATGTATTAACCCGGTCATGGACTGCTGACCTGTCCAGGGAGTCTTAATTGGACAAACAGTTAAGAAAATAGGCAGGTGAAAAATTACATAGGAAAAAGAACAGGGCTATAAGACAAGGCTGGATAGGGGCTGTGTTTGATCACCGCCCATTTTTCCCATTACACTACTTAACCTGTTTATGTTTGACTGGAAGTGCAACCTTTCCGAAGCTGCACAACAGACTGGTTAAACCCTGGCCAGTTCAGTATATCCCACTGTGTGGGTAGGAGGGGAAAAAGGTGCAAAAGATATGTAGAACAATAACAAGCAAATAAAGTGTGAAGGAAAGCAACGAGATAAGAGTGTGTGACAGAAAATAAAATGTTTTATACTAATTATCCTTCAAACGGCACAGTGTGCATCCATTTTCCAAGTCTGTCATGATGCTGGATGTGTGGCCAGCAGAGACCAAAATAAACAGCTCCAAGTTATGCAACATCGCCCTGGAAACAACTCATAAATATTCATTATTGCAACTCAGCATGTCTTGACTTTAATTGATAGAAAACACATTTCGAAACAACATGGCATTTACTGTGAATGCAGGTGAATGTTCACATCGTTAGAGATGCTTCAAATGTGCTGCTTTTGCTTTGTAGGGATTTCATGTATGTATTGTTCTTGTACAGACTATAATCCTCCCTGTGTGTCACTATATTATCTGTGATTTGTGTGGTTGTATGCGTGCACATCTGCTTCCTCTATTTTGGGCTCTTTGATTAGGTCTCAGTGTTACAGAGCCTGCACTCTTGGATTTGGATTTTGAGTGCACGTACACCCAAATGGATGACAGTATAGTCAATAGTACAAGGTTTTCCTGCACACAAAGAAAAGTTTGCCTCTCTCTCAGGATTGTGGTAGCATTTTTTATATGGGTTTTCATTTTTCAAGTTTTTGTATCAAATGGCCAGAAATTCTCCAAATAATAAGGAAAAGTGCTTCGGTGGCTCCTTTATTGCCTTCTTTAGCTGAAGATACAGTGTGCCATCCGTTATGAAAACAGTCAAGATAATGCCATTCCTCAATTCACAGCAAAGCACTATCCGAACATTCATGAAAACCATCAACATAACTGACAAAGTAGTCGAGGACATGCAAATGCTACTTGCATTTTCCACTTCATGCAATATATTACACATCTACTACTACTACTACTACTGTAAACCCATTAAACACACAGGATAACTATGAAAATCATGCTAATAAGGAAATTGCCACAGACTGTGTGGTCCTCACTGAGGTTTGAGAGGCATTTCAATTTGGTTCATAACAGATCTGATACCAGAAACAGGTGAAAACTTATTCAGTCCATACATATTGCTGAGAAAAGAGTTCAGTTCAGCCCTGTTTCATCACCAGTATCATCGAGGAGCAGAATTATGTAGATATCAGCTCTAAACACTCAAAATGAGAACAGACTGACCACAGCACTACATGCTAACTCATGTTATCGACATAGTTAGCCCAGAAAAAATACCTACGCATACCTACTTCTTTACTATAACTAGTAGGTAAGAAATTACCTCACAGAAGAATCTGTTGTGAACTTCAGATGTACACATGGATCAGAGGCCGAGGGCTCAGTGTGAACCTGGGGCAGGACAACCATCATCTTTGCCATTACCCATACAGTTTCTATTTAGCATTCTTTGATGAGACATCTCCCTCCTATAAGTCTCTGTTTAAACTGGCACCACATCTGTTGGAGTAAGATTCTGCTCCATGTGTTTGCAAACACAGAAAGTCAGAATGCTGTCCCCTGAGGCACAAACACCAAAAATTACAGACCAGTGCACACCACCACTTCTGCTGAATTCCTCCAACACAGACATAAGCCTCCTGCAAACTCTTTTCCTTCCCTGTGCATACCCCTCCTTCTCCTCCAAATTTCCTCTCACGCCACTCTTTCCTCTTCCTGAGCCATTATCAAGACTCACTCTAGCATCACCGGTGAATCCCTTTGAGTCTCATATAATGTCAAACATGCAATTAAGATCAAATCAACAACTGCCTGACTCAATAACCTCAATTACCTTGAGAAAGACAAGCACGGACTGAAGATACTGTGTACCCAAGTGACTGTGCTGTGCCTCGCCTATAGTTTTACTCATCTGCTCATGTTTCTCACCCCACCGCCTTAAAATATGAATGAATGAAGGCAGGCCCCACCTCCCTGATCAGCTGTTGCACTCATGTCA